AAAAATAAATTACTTTGTTATTAAATATAAATTAAATTATAATAAAAAATTGAATTAAACAAGTTACAACTAAAAAAACAAGAACTATTTCAAATTTATATTTTAATTTAAAAATAATAACATTATCGTTTCTCAAAACCATATAAAATCGTATTATATCAATAGAGACAAAAAATAAAAAGTAAACATTAAAATCGAGATTTATCTCGCTGCATTATATGAGTACCGTTGTAGTTTTATTAAAATGTAGGAGCAAAAAGTTATATGGAAAAAGGAAAAATTATAAATAGCGGCTAATCAAAATTCGACTCCCACTAATCCAAGCATTAAGTTCAGTTAAAATTCCCATATTCCTGACATGCTTTTTTAACACCCCGGTTTTAATATTAGATTATATATGTCTTTTTGTTTGGTATCTTAAATATTTAAAATAAGTTTTAAGCATGATGATATATTGAAATTATAACTGTTTGATATCCATAATGTAATATATTTTATCTGGTATGTAGATATTTATATCAGATCAAAAAGTAAAATATCAATATCAGATATCGATATCACTAGGAGGAGGATAAATTTGTTGCAAACAAAGAAGAAAGAAAATATCTAGTTGATAGTTATGAAGATAAATGTATGTAATATGATTTAAATTATATTGAATTTATTATTAATTAATCAAGTTATAATATATATGTGTATGTGATATATATATATATATATATATATAAAGAGAGAGAGGAGGGATCAAATGAAAACCACTCTCATTTGTAAAAATCTTACAAATCAATCACAGTCATTCATTTTCTTGATCAATGGTCAAGATTAGATTAGTTTATATTATAAAATAAAAATAATAATAATAATAATAATAATAATAAAAGTTTATTTTTTAATTGAAAAAGGGCAAAAATGTAAAACATCAAATCTATAACCGAGACAACAAGATCATGTATATCCTAATATTAATAAAACAAAATCATTGTTTTAAAAACTATATATATCATCTTATACTTCCAAATATTCTAACCAAAAATGTTAGAATAATCTTGAAAATTATAGGTTTGCTAAAAATGTCTTCATTTTATGTTCAAATATTATAAACAAAATAACATCCATCATAAAAATAGATCAAATTAAGGATTAATGAAATTAGGTATATCGTAATAAATTTTGAAACATGAAACACACTATAATCAAGTTAACATAATGAAACATTTTGGATAATAAAACAAAAAAAATTTACCATTACATTTAATGAATGAAATGGTTTCACCGTTTCATCAATACACTCAACCTATTGCTAGAGGAGACATCTGTCATTTTCATGTTTTCAGTACATGGATCCGTTTCAATTTTATTATGAAATGGTTTCACTGTTTGCCAAGTACACACCATTTTCTTTACATTAACATATCGACCATTACAATAACCATTATATGAACCTGTTTCACAATTATAACACTTTACATATTATATGAACCATTATATGAAACAACAACTATCATCATGCATTTTTATGGTTTCACTGTTTGCTTCCATTAATCATTTTTATGGTCAAACTATTTAATATTGTTTTCAATACTTATAGGAAACAAGGAAACAAGATTATCCAAAAAAATTATATTATGCAACAAGTTCATCCATAAAATTTTCGAAATC